CCTTCTATCTAGTCCATATGTTAAGTTAAGGCAATCAATGCCAATGAGTGTCACTCTAGTGGTGCCTAGTGAGTGAATTCTGAACTAAACTCTTTTTTTGAAGATACGTCTTGTCTATCTGGACAACTTTGCTGAAGAATGGAACCATCTGTATGTGCAGGATCTGTAGATAACGTTATATAATGTTTATTTACGATTTCGCAACTTGATCATTTTCATGTTAGCGCCATCTAGTGAGTGAATTCTGTCATACACTATCGATAGTTTTGAAGACCTTGTATTTTGAACATCTTTACAGAAAGAAGCAACATCCTATATGGTTGGGATCTCGTGATACAAACATTTCTAACATCAAAATATGCCATTTCATGGGTATTTTTTTGTAATGGCCCCTCCCCCTGAGATATCCACCCCTTAAAAAATCTGATAATTGTAAAGGGAAGTCCAATAAATTACCTATGCAAAACATTTAAAATTTAAGAAATCCATTGAAAATTCGTTAAGATACAGCAATTTGAATTTGGGGTCAAATTGACCCCAAGGTACAGACAACGTAAGTATTTCAATAAATGTTTTCCAATAAATATTTTTTCAAGTATTTTGAAGTAAATTTTATCAAGTATGACAGAGCTCCGGTGGACGCGTCTAGTCGTGAAAGAATTAGAAAAATCCATCGACAAATAAAAAAGTTACAGCCTATCAAAGTGGCCTGGGGTCAAATTGACCCCAAGGTACAGACAAAGGGTTAAGGAAGCCACAAGGCAGAAACTCAAAAATCTATTGCCGAGTGGCAGGTTTGCTGAAACTCATCAAACTCACTGGAGATTTTAAAACACTCTTATCCTGCGAGTTTAGTCAGCCCCCACCTCGAGTGAGTGGCGGCAGGAATATGGAAGAAGTAAACAAAAACTCCTCGAGAGAGAGGTAGAGTGAACTTCAGCGAGAGGATGATTTGACGTGGGGTGCGCTTTTCGAGACTCCGTATGACTTTTTTGTTCGACGCAAGAAACTCAGAGTTCACCCAGAGTGAGAGTAAAGCTGGGTTTAGACAGGGCAAGTCAATTGAACAAGTCAGTTGAATGCAACTGACTTGAACGCGAATTGAACTTGATCAACTCACTTGAATTGAAAAAAAAAATTGAACCAGGCTCAACTCTTCAAGCCGATTGAATTCAACTGAGTTGACTTGCCTAGTCTAAACCCATTTTAAGAGCGTGTGATAGAAATCATGAACATGAATGGCAGCAAACCTCACTATCATTTTATACCCTTTCGCTCACAAGCTCTGAAGCTCAGTGGCATGATTTGGTAGTAGGGTAGAGCACTACTTCGTCGTAATCGCCCATTTCCGTTCTATCGATCAGAAAAGATCAATAATATCAATGATTTCACCATGCACAAATCAATAATAGGTTTGTTCCGTTGCGTTGGTTCATTAGCTACAACGTAAACCTGTTAGAGCGCATTATATGAATATTTACGCTCATTGTTCTCAAAACAAAAGAAGCGCTCCTAGCGAGTCCCCTTTTTCTACGTTTATCCGTAGGACAACGGAAATCTAATGGCGTTTCAATGCGTTACGACGGAATTGAAACTCGTAGAACGAATTTAGAATCAAGAAGCAGTATTAGATTTTAAACATTATCTCAACAATTTGTGACTCTTTATCAAATTCAACGGAACCGTATGGAAAGGTGAATAAATTTAGAAATCATCTTTGACAAAAATATTCCATTTTTCGTTAAAACTCGTTCAGAAAAGAGCGGTAAAGCGCGGGTTGTGCTTAGTAGAACAGAAATTAGATCAAAAACCCTAGGCATTCTACTCATCAGAAAAATGCTACACTCGGCTCATTTCAAACTCGCGAGAGAGGCTCCATCAAGCCTGCCGAGTGGTATTATTGAGGAAATGTCAAAAGATATGGATCGATAGTTTTGCGCTTCGTTGTTGGTAATACCACGGTATCACACATTTTTTTTTCGCTGGAGATGGAGTCTACAGGTAGTAGGCTACTTTTTGGGCTTACTAACGCCCCGGATTTATTTCAAGAAGTGGCTCTTGCTGGATGCAAGGGGGCGTTAATTACTTAGACGACGTCATGATTTTCGGGAGAACAAAGGAAGAACACGACGAAAATTTAACCGCAATAGTGAAGTGCTTTTAAAACTGTAGCGTCAAAATCAATGATGCTGCACATTTCATTGGGAAAACGCTCTGTTAATATTCTGGTATTCATAATCGCTGATGAAGGATAAAGGGTGTCCCACATCAAATTGCATCACGGAAAAAACGCTGTAGAAAATTACCCATTGGGTAATTTCTCTTGAAAATTTGGGTAGAAGTAGTTTAGAGTGTATTGTTTACACTGTATTTTTATCGCTGTCAGTTTTTCGAAAGTTGGAAAAAATGGCTTCAGCCGAAAAGCAACGTCGCGAATTTATTTTGCGCAAGCACCTGAAAAATCCTCAACTCTCTCATCGGGACATCGGAAAACAACTCGGAATCGTGATTGAACGTTGCTAAGAAACTTTGAGCATCGAACGGAAGGAGAAATGCGGTCAGAATGGATGTTCTATTAGTGATCAGGATCACAAGCGTGTCGTGAAAGCGTCAAAGTGGAATCCCAATACTTCGGTCAACGATGTGGCCAAAAAGTTGAATCTGTCCAAGTCTTTCGTTCAGAGAGCCAAGGACCAGGAGGGACTGCATACGTACAAAGTGCAGATCGCTCCAAATCGCGACGAACGGCAAAATTCGAAGGTTCTTACCCCGTCTTCCGCTACATCGTCTGCAAGGTCAGCTTATATCCTTCGTTGCGGGATTGGCTGCAGAGGATGATAGGAATTGCAACTATCATTCAATGTAATAGACTTTTGGTTTGCTTGTATTCAAGTGCAACAATTAAAATCTAAAAAATATAATTTTTTCGCGGTTTGGCATAAAAATTCACGGGTTATTTCCTTTTTTTCTCGGTGACATCGACTTCCCGTATTTTTTTAGATTTTTCAGATTTCTTGGTTTACTGGTCACCTGAGAAATGCTGCCCAATACAACAAAGACCAATGTTTTACAAAAAGGAGCAGCGAAATAAGGTGAGATGGAACAAGTAGGTTGAAGGCAACCTACGGAGCATTTCACAATAATATATTGGTAATCCGTTTCTTGCTTCCCTTGAATCACAAACCACTCACGTAGGTGATGATTGTGATCTTCATTGAACTAAGTGTGTGTGTGTTTTTTTCTTCAATGCACTATGAGGTCATCTAGTTTGTTTTCAGTATTATGGCTTTTTTTCTTGATTTGTTCTCCGTCGATCTTGTTTTCCATGCTGAGCACCAATGCTACCGACGCCAGGGAGGAAGCTCCCACACCTGGACCCTACCTATCGACCCATCAACGCATGAACCGGGGACCAACGGCTTTACTATGTTATGCCTCAGAACATCCCGGCGACGCCAACTGGGATTGAACCCAGGCCTGCTGGGGTAAGAGGTAATCACCATATTTTGGCTTACTAAAGCAGAAAAAATGAGTTGTTCAAACTAATTACTGGCATATGGACTGAACCCAAGTAGTATTGCACCCAGACAACCAGAAGTCGTATAACAATGTACAGACAGTATCGTAAATTGCTACAGGTTAAGTCAAAATCGCTTATAAGAATGGCATACCTCGCATTATGTTTCAGTTAAATCGTATAGAATGCAAATTTCCGACTTATATGCGTTGGCTCATTTTTCCGTCGTACTGTATCACAAATTAAATCGGATTACATCGTAAGACTTTTAAAAATGAATTTGTTATTACAGATTAAATCGTATATGATGTTAAATCAACTCGTTTAAAATTAAACGAAAATATGCACGTATATGGCCTCCACTTTTGTACGTATAAGCCATTTCTTTGCATTGTATACGAGTTGTTTGTTTGTATATATGTTTGTATATCACTAAAACAACTTTGAATATACGTGCATTCTGGTTGTTTGGGCATGTTTTATCATGGTTTTAAAGCATATCAAATCATAGGGGCCCCCGCAAAAAATAGAACAGGGGCCGCAAGGGTGCTTAAGACGGTCCTGGGTCCGGGTAGATCGTCATCTGTTTTTCGGAGAACACTTCAAGGAGATTAAAGAATGCTGCAGACCTGGATCAGTCTCCCTGTAACCCTCTACGAACGGTACTATTCCAACAAACGGAACTTTATATTCAGTCTACGAGTATATTCATGGACTGAGTAAAAGTTTCCTCGATTTAACTTATACTCGAGAAGGTTTTTGAAGAAAATTGAAATCCGACTTAATTTTGAGTTGTTCTCATTGGAAATGTACCTTCGCGTGGTCTGAGAAAAGGGGGTCGTGTCATCAAGCAAGAATAAAAAGCTCCCATCTAAAAGTGTATTTTTAACTTTATTTTGTTATTTTTCTTTTGTTATAAAGTTAATAATATGTTTCTTCATATATAATAATATATTTGATCTCTGGATAAACCGAGTCAGTCTCTTGCGAGGCCAAATCACGTTCCTTTCCTTTTCTTCCGTTCAAACCACCTTCTCAACGTTTTGTGGTTTCAAGCACCCCCTACACTGGCTGCTCATACAAGTGACGTTTTATTGTTGTTCTTGTTTGTGTGTCTGTGATTATGTAGCTCACTAATAGCAATCAACATCTACACTATGGGAATGCGGCAGGCGCTAATTTGTTTTACTCTGCAATAGCCGAAATAAACGAACTATATATTTCTAGTATTGTTTTTCCTGTATTCCGTTATGTTGTTTAATGAGTCAATTTCTCAATATGCCCTCTAGCGATAGCAAATGTACGCTGCTGCAATGCGCTGCCACTACAAAGAGGAGGGGGGATTAGACAAGGGTGTAACAGCCCTTTCAGAACAAAAACGTAAGACCAATTGTATGTTGTTTTGTTTGCTTTTCTTACGGTTGGGGGCAATTTACTTCAATACAGTAGCTCTTTGTTTGATGACTAAAATGCAAGCTCCAAGTGTGTGTTCGGGAAGTGACTGGACGGCCTTCGGAAGCTACCGGCTCGGGTTCTCCACTATACAAAATTATTCAATGTTTTTGTTTTCTCATGTTCTGTTTTCCTCTGTATCGCGTTTTTTTTTCTTTTGCGGTAATAATAATTGTAATAGAACCATACTAATAATCAATCAGTAATAATTTGATAATAAAATTAGTTATTTTTTTGCGTTTTCTTCTGCGTTTACTTTCATTCTAATAATAATTGATAATAATAATTCATGTTCCTTCGTCCTTTATCAATAAAATGGCAAAGTTATTTTTTTTGTATTTTTTCTTTTATAATATTTTTAACTTGTTTTTCTTATCTCCTCTGCTAGTTTGTTTACTTTTTTTTAACTAAACAAGTTGTTTTGGCATTTTATTCATTTACTCTTCCTTTTACTCGGCTTCAGTATTCCTTCTCCGTGCTTTTGTGTTTTTTTCTTCTTTCGTAACGACTTTTCCTTTTTACCTTAAATATGTGTTTAAATATCTTCCGCCACGATCTGTTTTTCTTGTTCTTTGTTGCATCTCGTAGCGTTCAGCTCTTTTCTTCACTTAGTTTTACCGTTTTGTTTCACTTTTCGCTAATAAGAATGTAAGTCTCTAAATCAGCACGGCAACCGCCCTGCCCGAGGCTGATCCGAGACATGTTCGTCGTGGTGTTGTTTTGGATTATGGTATGGGTGTGGGAGGTTATGTGGTGCGCTTCGTCTACAGAGTAGGCGACGAAAAAGAAATGTTTTTGGGAAAAAACGGACATCGCTCGAATCTTGCCGCGGGCAGGGCTTCACCTGCCAAATGTAGTATCAATATTCCTGTTTTATCGCAATTTTTAGTTAAATTTTTTATTTAATTGATGACAAAAGTTGATAGATATAATTTGTCTTAAATAATAATTATTGTATATTTAAGTGTGTTTTTCTTGTGTATAAAGTGTGGTCAAATATAGTTGTTTTTTAGTTTTATTTTTTCTCCTTCTTCAGTACAGAAGTGTTTTTTTTTCTTATTTGTATGTGTTCTGTTTGTTTGAATTAGTTTAAGGTCAATATGGGGGACTTTCATTCGAAATGAAGCATTTTTTCTTTTAACTATTTTGTTATATGATTCCGTTTTGTTTTTTTTTTTGTTTGTTTTTTTCATATTTGTGTGTAATGCTATTTTTTATAATGATAGTGGCTTAATGCATTTCCCTAAAATTTCTGTTCATATTTTTAAGTTTCTTTTCCGTTTTTTTTTCTCTCTCTCTCTAAGGAAATGTTTCACTTTGTGTTCAATTTTTAGGATCTTTTCTGTATAGTTTATATAATATGGCTTGCAATTTGTTTTCACTTGTTTCTCGTCGATAATTGATTAGTACGCTTTTCGTCCGTCCCTCAAATATTCCCTTGTAGTTGTGTTTTATAGTATTCCGTTGCTATTGTGTTGATGTTTTTGAAATAGTGTGAGTTTTAGCTCACTGGCGAACAGAAAGAGGCGTTTGCTTCGATGATGGCTAGCGTACCATTAGGCTGGAACGAATGGATTCTAATGTTTCGAGTGCACTGATATGAAGCAGCTACGATGGAAGGCTACAATGTCAGTTGGCTCTTTCTGTACGCTGCGAATGAGCTGGTTGGTAGGTATGTTTACGAGTGAGGGCGTGGGAGTGGTGTCTGTGTAAATGTGTATCTTTCTGGTGGTGTACGAGTGATATACATTAGGGCATGCTTGTTTTTTTTTTCTGATCGAGTACGTATAAAATTTTCCTAGAAATTAATATAATGAATGTAAGCTGATTTTCTTTTCTATTATTTTACTTTTTAAAAGTTTATTTTAGAGTTTGCCTGATATGACTTCTGAATATACTTTTCCTTCCATTCCACTTCAATTGTTGGATGTTGTTCTTATCGCGTGTGATGTTCATAATTTCATCAAATTTCATTGAAATTACCTAATTTCAAGGACTTTTCATGAATACTAAGTACTCCTCGTAGGACTTCAAAATGGATTTTCTTTCACCAATACTAGTTCTGCGCTAAATAATAGGTCAATTTAAACTAGTTCCAGTATTTTTCATTAATTTATATTTTATGATTACTCTAATACTGTTGTACTTAAAATTTAGATCATAGTTCTTTTTACATTTGTTTCCTTAGGTTTTTTTCCTTCAATATAAATAATTTTACTTTTTATAAATATATACTTTTATGTACTATACTCATTTTCTTCCGCCGTTTTCTTCTTCTTTACTTTACTTATTTACTTTATTTTCCAAATAAATTCATATGTTCTCTTTTACTTCTTTAACTTTAGAGTGTGCTCAAAACTGCAATTACATACGCTGGGCTGCGTGGAGATACAATCAAAATTGTTCAACTGAAAAGAGATAAGATCATAGCAGTAGGACATCATCGATCGACTCGGTCTCTCGAACTCGGAGGGAAGGTTGTTCGGGTGATTGGTGTGGGGGGGGGGGGGGGGTGGTTTGAGTGAAGGTTCAAAATGAATAAAGAAGAAAAGGGGGTGGGGCACAAAGAAGCGGTATTCCGAAGGAACCGACGAGAATAACTAAGCCGTTTGTTTGGGTTATGATTCGTTCGCTTCCATTCCTTGTTGGTTTTTGCCTTGCGTCTCGTTTTTTTTTAGCATTGTAATTATATTGATTTTGTATGACTTGGCGTGTATGTTCAATTGGTTTTAAACATCATATAGCTGCGTGTATTTTTTTTTCATAGAATTAGTACTTTATCATGTTTTCTTTGTTTTTGTTTAGAGAAAATTCTTTGATTGAAACCATTGAAATGGTCGAATAGAAGGGCATGTTGCTTGTATTCGTGCTGTTCTATCGTGCTGCTGGATATTTCGTACATTGTCAGCATTTTGTTGGAACGTGTTTTTCCCTTTTTCCTGTCTTTGGCTGTAATTGCCTTTCCGATTTTATTCCCGCTGCGCTATAATCTTCATATTCTTCTTAAGTCATGCACAATCGGCATTTTTTTTTCTATGATGCATATACATGTTTTAAGGCTTCATTTCAATTTTTTAATTATTTTATTATAATACGATATTGTCGCAATAATTAAAGTTTTCTTCCATGTATGTTTAAATTACTTTGTTTTCCACCTTTAAGTTAAGTTATTGTAAGTGAGTGTGAGTGTGTGTATATTTTGAAAGTGTTGTGGTGTGAACGGAAGGGGGTTGATTTTCTACCAGGTTAGAATTAAAGCAAGTGGCAGAACAAAGGATGGAGAGCTCCCAGATTCACTGCAAGGTATGGTGGCAGAACAAACCACCTGGCAACAGTGGAAAAGAGGACGCCATTTTGTTTTGGCTTTGTTCAACGTAGTAATGGTTCAGAATTCTACTTGTGCGTTGAAATTTTGATATTCGGTTCAGTTTCCTTCGGTTCTTTCGGCGTTCCAATCAACGCTTTCCATGGATGTTGAAGATTTTCAAAGCCAACTGAGAAACATTTTTAACTTGACCCTTTTCTGGCGTCAACTTTCCCACTATCCAGGTAGGTGCAAAACTGCGTCCAACTGGAAAAAAACGACGGTTCGTTTCAAAAATTTCTCGTTTCATCTTCAGCCGTGAAAACCAATGGAAAAATTTCTCTAAAAATTTGATTTAATTCAGTAGTTGTATGTTTACTTCTGCTTGTATTTCTGCCTCAGATTTACCTCTTTCTTATACTAAATATATATGAAGCGTTAAATATCGCATAATTTACAATTGTTATCATCTCCTCAATAGTGCTTTACCTTACTGCGGTTGATTTCCCACCACTTCGGTTCTTTTATTTTGTTAGTTTTTCTCTCAAATACTTGTATATATCTAGTATATTCTTCATAATGCAAAGTGACTGGCAACACTTTTACTTGTTTTTTTTGGTTTCCCTCTAGGTTGGTTTTGTTCAATAATTTTAATACTAAACTTTTTTTGATAGCTCTAAAATCGGTAATAGGTAAAAATGCGAAAAAATCGTGCATATTTAACGTGTTTTGCCTTTACTTTGTAATAATCGGTTTCCAAGGAGAAGAAGTATGATCCAATGAAACGATGAGGGTGGGAGATAGGTTGAGGTCAGTGCTTTTTCCATTTTTTTTTTTCGTTAATGGTATAGTTTGAAATGGGTAGGTCGAACAGAACGATACCGAATGTTGGGGACATTGGAAAAGTTGAAATGTTTTTTTTTTGTTTTTAATTAGAGAAGAGATTTAATAATATGGATGTGTTTTGTTCTGTATGCTGCTTTAGTCAGTATGATAATTTTCCGTTATTTTATTAAATTCTTCAATCGTTATTGTTTACACTTTTTGTTTTTCTCTTCCTTTCGAATGTGGTTATTAGTTATCAATTTGTTTATAGTTGTTTATCTTATTTCCTCATCTCTCATATCACAAAACAGAATATTCTCCTCTTAAGTACCTTCGCTTTGTCAAACAATGTTTTTTTTTTCTTGCAAAAAGGAAAAATGGCTGCTTGGTATCGTCAATAATTTTTTTTTCATCTAAATTGTTTTTCATATTTTTTTTTCTTTTCAATAATAATAGTTTCGTCAATCAACATGTTTTTCTCTATAATTGCAAGAAATACCCTGTATCCTATAGTTTATACAATGTTTCATGAAATATTTTTCTTGCTTCTCCGCACCAGCATCCTACATGCTACATGTTAGTTTAATAGGTTGGTTTAGTTTAATCATCGCGTCAAATACTTACTTCCTACTAAGTATATGCGTGTGTTGTGTGAATAATGTTGCCAATTCTGATAAAAATAAACAACATCACAATTGATAAGCGCGGCATGTTTTGGGTGCTGCGGTTGCCAAAAAAACCTGATTTTCATCTGAAATGGCAATACCTTCACGGTGGTTTCAATCGTGAACTGCAAACTTCGTCTCGCTCAGCTTGCACGTGTAAGCGCAGCACTTTTACTTGTTTTCCGTTGGATGAATGTGTGAATCTGTGTGTCTTTGTTTGATAAATAATAGCAAAGTAAAACTAATGCATAAAACGTGTTTATTTATTTTGTGTGGGTTGTGAGTAGGTGAAAGCATTCACGGAAAACCGACAGTGAAAATTTTTTGACAAATGGCAAAGAGTGTGCGAGTAGTAGCTTAGCAGTAACATTTGTGCTTAAGAGGTAAACTACAAAAGAGAGGGTTTGTTTTTGTTCGCTTCGTTATGAATTCAGTGGGCGATGGGTGTGCTCAGAAAGTGCATGTAGACGTGCTGCGAAGGGCCTAAAAGTATACATTAGTTTTTTTGTTTTATTTTTTTTTTTTTTTTTTTACTCCTAACAAAACTAGCGGTTAAGTGATAGTGAAGCGATGGCTGAGTTTTGTTTAGAGGATAGTTTCTAGCATTCGATAGAGGCTTCCGTCAATCGGAGCGATTTGATAGATTCAACGCAAACTTAGCTTTCGAGTTCAGCTTGAGCTTAAGTAGATAGTAGGAAATGAAGAGAAAAAGTTCAGAACAGAAGATTGTTTTGCTAGCTAGAAGATGGTTCACTAATCTATGGATGGATGGCTGGTTGTTTGGATCACTAGGATTGATTCACATTTGATGTCGACGGGGCGATTGCTTCCGAATGGTGCTGAAGTGTTTCGAGGGCTTTTATTGTATTATAAACGTCTCTGCGCATAAAACCAAAGGTTGCCAAATGACAGAATCTTGCTTACTCTAAAGCCCTTTAGTAGAAGTATGATAGACTGTCACCAGGAAACTGATATGTTCCAATTGAACAAAGCAGTACATTTTGACCGATCAATTTCAACGGATTTTGATAGACTTTTACTGGTCCGGAGAAGGTTCCTTTTTGGATATTACCAGAACAACATGTGAAAAGGGCATATGTGCCAGATGTGTTGATATATAACCGACGATTCCTCACGGATGAGGATTCATTCAGGCAATCCAAAAGCAGAATCTGATAAAGGAAGATTGGCTCATATGAGTTTTTCACATGCTATTCTAGAATTAGGCCTATATTATTGATTTCTAGTCACGGAAACTTGATGGCAATGCATGGCATCGAATCCTACCGGTAACGCGTGCTGCGTTATTCGCTGGTGGCATCCCAAATAACATTATTGGATTAGAATAGATGTTTAAAACTTACAATAGTCTAGCAGTTTTACTAGGGATGTGATTCTTTGATACTCTGGTGCCGAAACATCTTCGGGTTCTGAGAGATTTTCCAGCTGCTCTGAGCTTTATGTAGAAAAGTACGATTATTTGTGGATAATTTTACACCAAAAGCTTCGTTCGTCTTCAACGGTGCCTCGTCGGACATGATCAGTTAGCAAACCACAAGTAATCATCACTCTACGATCACTTAATATATGATTCAAAACTGCTCATCACATGTCCGCTAGAAACAATCTTAAGAACTTGGACTTTTATGAGAATCTGTATTTTGTCAATGTTGATCATCACAACAAGTATTGGTGCTGGAACTAGTAGAGAAGTTGCCAGGAACCATGAGCATGGATCGGTCTACATTGAAGAGTCAGCGACTTTGCGTAAAAGTTCTCGGGGATTTCCTGGAATTTAAACCCAGGCAACAGTTTTCGTTTTCTAAGGTTTTATAGGTAGATCATTATTTAGGATTGCAGAATGCTTCAAAACCACCATTAAATTTGAAATGTTGCTTAGGTACTGAAGCAAGTTTTGGACATCCAGGGTATTTGAAAGTTTCGAGAGTCAAATTGGTCAACGCGGTTCATTCCCCTAAACGTAGTCATCATTCAAAATCGATCAACTCGCAACTTGCTGTCATTTCGCTGTCCAAAGTTCTTAGTGGTTTTGCTTGTTTTCGGTAGCTGTATCTGGAGATATTAGGTTGGTAGGTTCGGCTGCTTCATCTCGCCCTGCGATGTCAGGGAGATATATTTGCAAATCAAGCTCAAAGCTACGGTCTGAAGAGTGTAGGTGTATGTATTCTGCAACATCAAGTCTTGCGGAGCTAAGTCATGGATATTACTATCTTTAGTAACACTTTTGTTGTAAAACAGTTATTATCAAGTCGCTGCAACTTTTCTTGACAGAATTGTTCTCTTTGCGATATTAGGCTCCTACTTTAGCACAGTATGTGAAGAACTTGTATAGGACCATCACTACGCGGAAAACTACTTAGAAAACTTCATGTCGATTTACGAAACTGTGGATGCGGTTAATGAACTAAAGCTCGTCCATTCCAACCCAGGCAGAAGAAAATAACTTATGACTATCTAATTCTGACCTGATACCAACCTTTGGTGTTGATCAGCTTGACATAAGAGGTAAAATACCGAAGAATAATACCAAAAAATTTCATGCAAATTACTTTGAAAGTCACAAACATTGATATTTGGATACCAAAAGAATACTTGTGTGGTATTGTTTTGGTATTTCATTTGCGTAATTTGCTATTGGAATGGTATTGTGGGACATTTTTTAGTATTTAACCTCACGTCACGCTAATCCACACCAATTTAAGGTATCGAGATATTCGTTCCTGCTCGGGAAGGGTGGATTCAAAACACGAAATTTTCTATTCAACGGAGAAGAAATGTTGAATCGGAGAAGCAGAACCAGCAATCTCGAAGGATTTCGCTCTTATACACGTGGGAAAACAACTGAATATGTGCTCGGTTTGAAATATGTGTGGAATTTGTGTCGTATTTCCTTGTAAACCAGAAGTACTTAAGGGCAACAAGAGTCGAACGTAGAACTGTAAACTCATTGGCAATTTTGGACGCATTACTTTCCTCAGTAGAATACACTGTAAAAATATGAATGGAAACGTCACTCAAGTCACAGCCATTTTCATAGAACTTCGCGTTCAGATAGAGTTCCACGTGTTCGTCAACAGTAACGATTCTGCTTACGTTTGCGTAGCATACTGTTGATTTAAAAAATTATTCGGAATGCAGGTGCCACCCATCAGTGTTTAGATAAACGTCCCCGTAGTCTACGCTCTGTTAACTAAACGTCTTGAATTAAAGGCTGCAAGCGTGGGAATCCAAATTTTCGAGTCCATACATAAATTACACAAGTTGGAGAGTTCTCTAAAGTAACAACTCTGTCCTGGTCAAACCATCCTCGTTACTACTTGCACATCGGAGAGATTCTGACGGCAACTGACGCACGCGAGTGACGATGAGTTTCCTCCGAAATTAACCCGTTGACATTGCCAACAAATGGACAGATGGATTAAACTTTCTACCACTAATCCATAGTTTTGCGGTCCTGAGTTGCATGCAAATGCATGAAATATCGATCTGCTTCGTCGGTTGATGGAAACTTGGGTCACCTTCAAATGAGAGACGTTTGAAATCACTCAATTGAATTGAATGGAACTCTGGTTGACATTCTGACGAAAAACCTGAATTGGGTTCTTTAATTTTGAAAAATATATCGGTTTTTATATATCATCTGAAAGAGCTTCGTTTTCTGAGCACAGCGATATTTTTTTACGAACCCACAAACTTTCATCTCGATTTTTAAATCAAGATTTAAAGCAAAATAACAACTTCACTGTTTGACACTAAACTGACAAACTGACAGCTCGCTCCCATACAAAGTGACACCGAGGGGCGCTAATGAGGTGATTTTTGCAAATGTAATCGTTCTTATTTAAAATAGTTCCAGTGTACCAAAATTGATGAAATTTTGGGTTTGGGTTCCATTTTTAATGCAGATTACGAATATGCATTTACCTCAATACCCTTAAAGAACCCAATTAATCTGGAATCAACTAGACTTCCAACAGACATCAACCCATCATTGACTTTGGTCCGATATTGACTCAATATTGAGTCATTCATTATCCGAGTGACATCCCAACAAACAATTTTAGCTGCAGACTTGCTTATACAGGCAAAAATTAGCTGTATAAGCCAATTTTTGTCTGTATAAGCTAATCTGCAGCTAAAATCGTTAGTTAGGATGTCTATTCTGAAGCATTTTCTGGTTTTATCACTGCCATACATCAATTATGTTCAATATGGGTATTGAGGTGAATGCATATTCGTTATCTGCATTAAACATCGAACCGAAATCCAAAATTTCATAAATTTTGGTATACTGGCACTATTTTAAATAAGTGCAATTACATCAGCAAAAATCACAACCGATGCGCCCCTCGGTGGGAGTTTGTATGGGAGCGAGCTGTCAATTTGTTAGTTAAGTGTCAAGCAGTGCTTTAAATCTTGATTTAAAAATAGAGATGGAAGTTTATGGGATCGAAAAAAAATATCGTTGTGCTCAGAAAACGAAGCCTTTACAGATGATGTATAGTAACCGTTTTTTTTTCAAAATAAAACAACACGATTGTTTTCTTAAATTTTAAGAAATATACCGATTATTTTATTATTCAACATCTGAAAATGCTTAATTTTTTGAGCACAATGATGTTTTGTTTTCGATCCAAAAAAATCTATTCGGAGTAACAGCTCGCTCCACACTAAACTGCATTTTGGATGTCGGTTCCACTTTTTTATGCAGATTACATGTAATTACATCAATAATCCTAGAGAGCCTAATCGAAAGTGAACGTGACTCAATTGACAGCAAATGTGGCTCTCTTGAAACAGTTTATCTTCACTTGGGTTCTTTAGGGGTATTGAGGTAAATGCATATAAATCCGATGCGATTACCTTTGCAAAAATCAACATCTCAGCGCCCCTCCGAAGGACTTTGTATGGGAGCGAGCTAGTTAGGTGTCAAAATGCAAAGTTATTATTTTGCTTTACATCTTGATGTAAAAATCGAGAATGGGTTCGAAAAAACTACCGTTGAGCTCAGAAAACGAAGCTCTTTCAGATGATGTATAAATACCGACATATATTTTTTTAAATTTAAGAACCCAATTGAGGAAGATGAAAAGACAACATAATTGATTGAGTGCTTCTGTTGAATCGTTTCTAAATAGCAGGATTCGAAAATTGGCAGCACAGCTTCAAGCTGGATTTGGCCGTTTTTAATCAACATGAATTGAAATGAGCAGAAGAGTGACTCTGAAAGGATGTGCAAGTTGATGTCTTCCTAGATGGAATTGGCAGCCTTTCTGGGACTCATTTGGGCAACGATACGTAAGACATCGCATTTTGAAACACTCGCCTTAGCTGTCGCTCATCATTGAACGTATGCAGTCCAAAATAGATTCTAAATGAATTAGAGACTGTCGTTGTTTCTGATTTGAAATTTGACTACGACGATACCCTGCGGAGTATTGTCATAAAGATTGATTGATTGATGATCGTCTAATGGGCGTCCACTATAGTCTAGGTAGGGGAGAACAATCCATGACGCATCCCTGTGGTTAACTGGACCCGCGTGGTTTTTGTTGCTTTTCCATTACTAATTCTGGGATTTGATGAGCCAGAATGCTAGTTCAAGTACTGAATCAACAACGCTGCTCGTTAAATCTACAAATTGACAATGGGAAAGCTATGAAAAACAACGCGGGACATTTAACCTCAGGGGTGCATTTAAGATCATATTACCCTACGGAAATCATGATCCAAAAGAGTCATGATCTTCAGATTGAAGAAGGATCTTCTCAAAATAAAAGCCTTCGACGGTATTATTCACATTTGGTATCTGGATCGTGATACATTAATTGCGCTTTAACGAATATAAGGTCAAGAGATCAAAATCAGCTAATTTAAGCTTTGCAAAACCAGAGATTGGCAACCTGGATTCAGAAAACAAAGCGAATTAAATTCGTTTAAAAAGAAGTCGTATGAAGCCAACTTGTTTGCCAAGGAATGTACAATTAGTGCAATTACTAACATTTTCAAATGACAATCGCACGATATTTCAACGTATATTTAGAAGCTAGGAACCACAGTGTAGTGGTATGAAATGCTGTACACCGATAGAAATATCTGCGATTTATAGCACACACGTTGTACGCTTTAGATTTGGCACTAATCTACTCAAAAATTCATGCAAATTAAGGCGATATGTCGCATGAATCGACCAAATTGTATACAAGCTCGCTAAGAAGTTCCTTGTTTCTGCCAGTAAAGCTCAAAATTTAAGAAAAGAGGTTTTACGATGGAAATCAATTTTTAATTATGTGGGGAATTGTTTGAGTACTGAACAAAAATCAAGTATTTTAACTGAGCTCATCCAAGCCAAGCTTGGAAAATTTAATTCTCTAGCATGGGCACCACAGAACCAAAAAATAGCATACTCGATTGATAAAACAGATTTCGGAATGAGTGCAAGTGTCTCTGCACGTCGACTCGGTGCTGACAGAAATAGAACGAAAGAAGGAAGAAGCTGAAAGAATTTCTAAAACAATCATCGTACAACGTGATCATAATTTACGTGTGTCAATGCAAAGCTAGACTTCTTCAAAATGCTCATTCGGCTGTTGAAATCGAATGCAGTTGGAAATGTGCCAGCATGTTAAATAGAATCACTTATTAACAAAACCAGTGCGCAAAACAGTCCGGCTCATTGAGTCATTTTGATATGAATATGAAGCTGCCGCCTCATTCACTGCCTCGTGAGAGTCTGAATCATTGAGAGGTAAACGAGTCACTGACAGCCGAGCACTCAGTCAGTAGCTCAGTCAACACGTTTATTTTGCCCTGATGGTACCTACCCAATATTTGTTTTGAATGACTGAGCGTACATTTTCTATGGAAAAATAACTCAATTACATGCTGTGTGAGCGAAGGCAAGCGGTGTTCGTCGCCTGCTCGTGAGTGACTGAATGTTTTTGTTGGCTCTTTCATTGCCTCGTTCTTTACCGTTTGGTACAAACGGTCTGCACAGAGCGATGGATTGAAGAGTGCAGTGCTTTCACACTCAGCCTAGGCAGTCAATAATTTTACGCTCTGAACACAACAATATATTGTCGGTACAGTTGAAAACTAAAATAATCCACTTGCGAAAATCGATATTACTCTCGTTCTGTACGTTAAACAGAGTGTCGGAATTAGTGCGCTGTAATTGCACAATCTGCGCTGTGCAGCGCACTTCTTCAAACACTATGTTCAACGTACAGAATGAGAGTAAAATCGATTGTCGCTAGTGGGTTATTTCGGTACCGAAAATAAATACTCTCAGCAAGCATGGGAAAAATCGTTTCACTTTTCATTTAGGGGTTAGAGGGGCATAGTGAACAGGTGGGGCATAGTGAGCATCCCGTGCACCAGCTTGGACTTCCGGCCGTTCGGAACAAATTTATTGGTGGTAGGATCAATATCATAATGATATTGAACCTACTACCAGTTGATTTGTTTCATGCAGCTAGAGATCCAGGGCCAAACTGTGGGATGCACACTATGCCCCACCTGTTCACTATGCCCCTCCTCCCTCTACTACTCACTCACACGCATGCAACATCAGAAACGATCAGTAGCTTGTGCAAGCCGCACTGATTTCGTTCGTATTTTTATTGCTTCTATTTTCATCGATGAACGTAGAAGTGAGCAAGACAGATAGCTGAGCGTAACATGAATGATGCAAATACTGAGATTTTTACGATGGCATTCTGAGTGAGAAGTTTGCAGAAATAATCACTTTTTATTTTATAGTATTATGCATAAGCTGTTTTTAAATTTTAACGTTTAAATTGGTATTCAACATGGAGAAAAGTATTATACTGTAACATATTATCGTAAGCGTCACGTAAATACTGTAAAACTGATGCGAATTGGCCTGATTCAAATCATTGAGCCAAAAAATATCTCACTCGGCTATTTGAATCGTTAGTGTTCAGGTTTACCCGCATTCAATCGGGTTCTCTCTCGGTAGATACAATTCGACAGTGAGCATGCATAAGGGCCTATACGCGATGATCGATTCTCTTCCTCGATTTTCTCTTTTGTTAATAACTCGCTAGATTTAACGTTTCTCGGTGCGTTTGCTGTTGCTTTTGATAGTCAATACAACCTGTTACTACTATGCATTGAACAAATTCTAGAAAATTGTTTCGCTTAGCTGTAGCAATGCAAAGAGAAAGTCGATGAAGAGAATCGATCATCGCGTATTCGCCCTTATGCATGCTCACTGTAGAATTGTTCGGCTGTCTTATCAGTTTATATGCATTCCTTCTACTGCTGTCAGTTCCAAGTCTACCTGCAGAGTGACTTGGTTCGAAGAATTTATACTCGTTCGCCAATCTGTTTGTAGGTGAGGTTGAGGCTGTTTAGTTTCTGTGGTGTTCGTGCGAGTTAATGAATTTTCCAATGTTTGACTCTTAGACCAAACCATGGTACCTACTTTTGGTCGGTGTTGCGTTCAACGAAGACATTCGAAAGCTAGGTGGGAACGAACGAAATCTCGCCGAAGTCACCGCTCGATTCCGAACGACCGTTGAATCTCACTCAAATTTGAGATCTGTTTACTAAAATTCGCATAAGCCACGGTCACTCATTGACTGAGTACAATTCTCCTCGATGTTTTTTTCATATTCGAGCATTTTAGCTGGCATGTGACCAGGCATGGAAAATCATTTACATTCATTTTATACATTCATTTACATTCATTTGCCTCCCACTTTTTTCATCGACAGCATTCCGCAAAATGATGTATAGAGCTTTTGTAGGTTTTGTTATTAGCTACAACTTTTGGTCATAATCTTTATCTCTTATGCATCAGGAACTAGAGCGGGCAGAACTTGTTACTATTTTTCAGTGAATGTAAAATACATTCACTGAAAAACAGTAGTGGCTTCTGTTCGCTCTGATTCGTCATGCATCAGAGATACGGATTTGTTATCAAAAGTTGTAGCTAACAACAAAACCTACAAAAGCTCTATACATAATTTTGCGGAATGCTGTTGATGAAACAAGTTAGAGGCAAACGAATGTAAATTAATGCACGAAATGAATGCAAATGATTTTCTATGCCTGCATGTGACTGATATTTACTCTAATATTCACTTTTGCGAATTAAAGTAAACGGGACTAAAATTTGAGCGAAATACAACGGCCTGGTTATATTGATTTCGTAAAAGCGTTTTGAATCCCGACAGCACCATTCTTCAACCAATTCACGAACGGATTGTTCAAACCCGGTCGGCGAGTCTCAACCATTTTGTTTTTAGTTTGACGCAATAAGCGTTGGACAAGTCGCCTGTCTCTTTGTGACTGTGATGTTGTATGATCACGCTGCTACATCAAAAACCAAATCATTCCCTACGGAGGAGAGTACGTGTCAGTCAACCACAGTCAAACCTTTCGCTATGCGTAGGTGCGTGTGTGTTTGGGTGTGAAAGGCGCAGAGACCGAGCTCGTTCACATCTTTCGTCTTTTAAAAACTACCTCTCTCTCGCGCTCTCTCTCTCTTTTTCTTACATCTGCATTGATCATTTAAATGTATATCTCAGTACGGATTTGATACGGGCATATATAAAGTTGATTTCTATTTTCTTAGTGTTGTCCCTTTGGTGATTAATCTCCTTTTTGTTTAACTCTCAGTAGCTGCTTTTCCTAAACAATGCAACACGTGAAAAGGGGGAGGTGTGAAATCATTTTCTTCTACGAGGTTAATCATGCTTAAACATTGTGTGTAGAGCAGTTTATAATGCGAGGGTGGGATAGAGGAGCTTTGAGGGGAAGGGGAAACGAAATTCTACTAATGATTAGGTTTTTGTTTATCTTCTACAGGCAACGGAAGCTGGTTACACGGATCGAACGACGAGGATAATTTATAGCTGCCGGCACTAGGTAAACTTCTACTGGTCATTCTACCATCAATAGCCAAACATATCTAACAGTATTTTGGTTTGGAACCAATCAAGAGGAGCAAGGGAACACAGGCGAGGTGAGGCTGAAGGAAGTTTGGGGAGAAACCAATCGAAAGCATGCTCGTTAAAAGGTGGGTTCACTTTCGTTGGGCTGTAGTCCTTTCTTGTTCTTTTTATACTTGTTTGTTCAAAACTATATGCTATATATGCGATTTTTTTTTTCGTTAAGTATATCGGTGTTTTTTGTTTTGTGTATAGGTATAGGTATGTTTGTTTTGTTAAAAATAATTACTTTCAAACTGATATGATTTAATCAACTCTCTTCCTTTCGCTTCCTTTCTTTTTGTTTTTTTTTTTACGTGGTACTCTATTCCCTATAGGTATAAGTGTTTAGCTTTTTTTTTTGTTTAAAGAGATTATGACACTAGAGTAAAAATGTACAGTATTTACACGGTCTAAATGCGTCAATTAATATTTGGCAATAGGGTTTGGCTGCAGTCGGTGGATTCGATGGCCGAGGACTTGGAACTTTTCCCTTAAAATGGTGACTTTTTTCCCTGTAAGCTACGAAGCTTCCCCGTTGGATCGATGGTACCTCCTCGTCGGTTCGTAGATTATTGAAAGAAAACCAATCAATCTCCTCGACAGCTATTGTAAGAGTACGACATTAATTTGTTGTAAATAATTTTCTTAATTTTCTCGATTTACTTCCTAATTATTAGGTGTTAAGGTACTGGTTTGTTTCAATTTCCATTCGCTCATCTTCTTCGACAGCCCTAATCACGTGGTAGTAGTAGTAATTAACTTCGAGTTTCACATCAACAACGGAAACACTGAGAACAATAGCCACTATACGATCTCATCTCGATTATTGAGTTATTGAATTGATGGGATTCAACAGTTTTACAAGCAAACATCGAGAATGGTGTTGGTTTTGATTTTGGAAAATAATTAAGTAACTATGCCGGATTTTGTTTTCGCTACATCAGCCAGCGTTCTGTACAGCTGTACACAGATACAATAGTTTGCCAGATGCCGGGCAGACTGTAGCAGTAGTAGTAGTAGTAGTAGTAGTAGTAGTAGTAGTAGTAGGTGTCACTAGCATCGTTTTACAGACGTTCGATTATACACATTCAATTTGATTCAAATGGTTTGGAACACAAAATCTCTAGCATCGATAGTGGTTATAGATAAAATAGTCCGAGTTTTCATACAAATAAAACATTTAAATCACAGCCCATTTGTTGAATTACCTAGCTTTTTAACTTTTTGTGTGAATTCAGAGGGATCATAGCGATACAAACGATGGAGGGGTACCATTTTCCCAAACGGAAGCTTCACTTTTTTGTAGTCACCGTTCGAAAATTGTGCGCTAAACTTTTGTTTGATTTTTGCTCTTAGTAACTAAAAGGACTCTAACTCAACAAATGTATCTTTGCGCTTCTATGTGCGTTGTGCTCTAATTTAATTGTGATATAAGTTGCTACAATTCAACCCAAAAGTAAAAATCGGAAGCCAACGTTAAAGGTAACTTCTAATTTTAATTAAAAAGCTTCATTACCCTCAATCCCACTTTACTGCCATCATAAGAACGAGATATGAAACTCGCCGCCCCCACGTTCCGGATAAATCATCCATCAAATAAAGGGAAGCAAAATCATCCAAACAAGACCGAACCTCGTCAGAGTTCGTTCATTCACCGCTGCTGCAGGAAGGAAGTGCATAAACCATACTTAATCCTCACACTTTTCTAATTAAAAATATAGGTAATCCTCGCCATGAAATCCACTTTTCTGCAGCGCGATTTTTAATACACACATTATCCTGCTGATCTACGGTAGAGACCTGCGTGTGGGTGGTTAACCGGAAGCGTCAACCCTCTCCTCCACAGCAAGTTGGACAGTTGGACAGGACAGCAACAAAAACCCGATACAACTCTACAGCCTCTACATTGTGTTCAGGAATAGGACTTACCGCTTGTGAAGAACTCTACCGTACCGTTCGCGTTCTCCCGCAGCACTCCGAGGGAGGAGGGCACCGGGGGAGGAAACCTAATGTGCAAAACTCATCAATTTCCTTCGACTAGTGCTCCAAAATTAAACTAGGTTAGAGTGTGTGAGTGTGTGGTGCTCGCGTAACTCAAATCTGGAAGGAGACAAAAAACTGCCTTGACTATACACAGTACTATCTTGCCTAGTTTTGGTATGCTGTATTTATTTCGCACTTCGAACTATATTTCATAATAAATACGTGTTTTCTGGTATTTCACCCATTTCTCTAACGTGGTTTTGTTCTGGCTTTTTTTTTAACCTTCACAAGTTTATCTCATTTTTGGCTTCACTTAGCTGTAGATTCATCTCGAATGAATGTAGGTTTGTTCACTTACTTGTTTGGTGGTTAATTAGCTTATAACGCATTGTTAAGGGGGGGTCGTTAGTAGTTGGTTTTCTGCAAGCTGAACTTGGTTTTGTCATCTTTTATTAAATAGTTAATTAAACCTAGTTTCATTTTTTTTTCTTTTACACAGCACTAGTGCCTCTAACAAATTTGTATTATCAAGTAGTAAATTCGCTCTTCTAAGAAGACTAGACAAAAACAATGTATTGATATTGCACTTAAAAATCACAAAATCAGTTAGTTAGCGACGGGAGATAGAGAATAGGGGCAGGATTGGAACTTAAAATAGACGCTCATGGCTACAGATACAGAGTACTTATAAGTTGAATAAATTAATACTGAAATAGGTAAAATGATGCTCAAATGTGAAGATAAATAAATGCGATTCAATAAAGGATGAAACTTAAAAACAATCAAACTACTTCCAAGCATGCTACTTGTGGTAAGTAATAAGTAACTCCGAGCTGTTAATCCAGCCCGTTTAGGTTGTTAAATTTTCTCTAAGTACGCTCGATCACTAAGTCATACTTCAATAATTATGTTTTTTTGCCGTGTAATGCAAATATATTGTGTGTTGTGTTTTTTTTTGTTAGTGTTTTTTTTTCTTTAATTCAATGTAAATGTGTTTAGTGGATGTGTTCCATTTTCCTCAATATATAGATAAATTACTTCTAGCTAGTATACTAAGTGATGGGCAATTGTTTCTTTCTGCCTTCCCGTTCGACCACGGGCCAGATCAGCTTCCCCTCATGCTACTGTAAAATAGCACGTTGCCTTTGTTCTTCTGTGATGCAGTCCAACAAAGTTCCGATTAGGATGCGCTACCTATCCCCATTCATTTTGCTCTATTACGTCACTAGTGTTTGGTTTTAATTTTAAATACTCCTTTTAATAAGTTCTTTTTTATCTAACTTCCTATGTAATGGTATTTTTCGCTTAATTTATGTATATAGAACTTCAGTGGTCTAGTGGTTAGGTTCAATTTTATTTATGTATGATTTTTGTTCGCACAGTTTACTCTCCTGTCGGTAAAAGTCGTCTCCGCATGCGTAGGTATGCCAAAAAGTACGCAGCGCTGATCCTTAGTCTAACTTTGAATTCTTGTCTCGCACGAAAAATAACTTACTTTACTTTTAAATTTCCTGTTTTTTGGTTATGTCCTTTCCCCGAAATGGCACGATGAAAAAATGTTGAAACAGAAAAAAAAACCTTCCCTCATGTTCTGCCTCATTGTTACAATCTAATGTATAAATATTCTTAGGAATTGTATATATATAATATATGTTTTTATTTTTCATATATCTAAAAATGTACAGAGCATGATGAATTCCAACTGAGAGATATCTTCTTTTTTTTTCATTCATCCAATGCAATGGGTTCGGTTCCAGGCTCGTTTCACGTGCTCTCACATAATGATTCTAATCACGGTTTATCAGTTTCATATTTTTATTTTGTTTTTCGGGAGAACTTACAACTCAAGGATCGTGCAAAAGGTGGCGACTAAACTTTTCACTCGCTACGAGGAGTTCACTATATAAGTCCTGTGATGGAGAAAGAGCAAGATGGGGGGATGGGCGGAGGATAGCTTTTCTAATGACTTTCGTGTGGTTTGCGGCTTTTGACTAGAGTTGGACTTGAGTTTGCTTTCTTCTGCCTGTTTTTCATGCCTATTAGTTAAATTTGCTGTGATGGCGGTTGTTGTTGTTGCTGTTTAACTGGGGATGACTTTTTTTTATCTCTCGCATAATTCTAGCATCCAAAAGTGCGCCATGTCAGTGTGGTAGCAGCTCACAGTAGAATTTTTTAGTTTTTAGTGTGTAAGATTTTGTCGGTTGTTTTTTGTATTTTTCACTTTTCTTTAATTGATGATATAGTTTGTTTTGTTTTGTCTAAGGATTTACTTCGTATTTTAAAGCTTCAGCTAAAGGTTTACCAATTGAGGAAAGAAAAGAAAAGAAAATATGGAAAATCAAAGTTAGTCCACCATTTGTCTTTGGCCGCATTGTTGGGATTTGGAAGAATCATAAACAAAAACAAATGCGGTACTTACCAGAAGCACTCTTTAAAGCGCTTTTGATCTCTGATTGTTAATAGGGTCTATTGGCGTCTTTTGGTCTCTTCAGCTGAACTTTCAGTCTTTTCATACCAATCTGAAAACCATTCATGGCTTGGATTGCAGCTTGAGCGCTGGCTGGATTGTCAAATGACACAAAACCTGCGAGAGGGTGAGATAAAATTCATCGTCAATATGAATTGATATCTTGGTTCTGAACAAAATAATAATGAGAGAAGCAAATAAACACAAACCAAGTTGGTTCAGATACTGGAGATGGCATGGACATTATTATGGGGAAACTATGTAATCGAACATGACATCAAAATTCACAAGATCTATCTTTGCACACACCTAGTGAGAAGTGTGATGTCCGTTTTAGTCTTTTCCATTCTACTTTTTTTTTCGCCATGCAGTATGATAGGAAATGGAGGTATAATTGACATCAGATATTATACTTATAAACTTGAAACTGTATTTTGGAATACAAAGCTTATTAGACAAGGAATATTTAGGAGGCCAACATCTGGTAAGCCATGATCATTGTATCTACTACTGCTATGTCAAACCAGATTTTCGTTTCTTATCAGTTTATTCAGAAGTGCTGTCAAGTTTGGCACTACAAATCTATATGTTATTAACATTTAACAACTCTTGAACACCTTGGACATTTCAATCCCAGTCCACAAGATGATCAGGTTTATTAATTCATCAAGCTTTTATTTACACGTACGATTAAATTATGGAGCAGTGGTTCTCAATTTTTGTTCGATTGCGACCACCTTTGGAAATTGCAAAAGCTCACGACCCAACAGTATTGACTAAAGATGATGTAACCCAAATGTAAGCCAAAAAATGTCTAATTTAAATGTCGATCGATCTTGTTTTCCGTCGATCTTGATTTCTGTGCACAGTGCTGAGCACCAATGCTACCGACGCCAGGGAGGCAGCTCCCACACCAGGACCCTACCTCGTCTCATCAACTCATGAACCGGAGACCTACGGCTTTACTATCATCCCAAAGGAAGGCGTGATGAGAGATGTTATGCCGGTGGCGCCAACTGGGACTGAACCCAGGTCTGCTGGAGTGAGAGTTAATCACGCTTACCACTACACCACCGGCGCCACTTATTCGAAATGGTTGCCCGAGTAGAACAAAATATCTAACAAATAGCAAATTTTAATTCACAAAACAGGAAATCGAAAGAACTCTTTTGATATTGATTTGATCGATATAAGAGGTAACATATCAAAAATAACATCAGAAAAGCCATTGGCTAATAACTGAGAAATTGCTTAACAATAAAAAACCAATTGAGCTATATAAGAAATCTAAACCAACAATTGAAATAGGTGGAACAATCAAACGTAAACAATGGCTTTAAACGCAAATTCCTCGAGAATCAAAGCACATCCAAGAAATCTAACATCATTAGTTGATAGACCAAACTTCCTTTATCGAATGGCATTGTTAGTTTGTTTGGGAGTGTTTCGATTCTCCAGAATTTTGTGTTTAACGCCATTGTTTACGTTTTGTTGTTCTGCCTAGTTCAATTGTTGGTCTAGAAATATAAAAATTAAAAAAATCTACAGTATGGTCAATCTTGAGAACCCAGGTCGTTTGCGTGACTGTATCGTGTGCTGACCACTCTTCGCTATATCTTCTTGTTGAAGGTAGGAGGAAAAAGTACCAACAGTTTCTTCGGTTGTCATGGTTATACCATAGAGGTAACTCTAAGACTAGAAGATACCGAAGATACGTGCTCAACTTTTTGGCTCAGCTCTGGTACTCTCTTCGATCCCAAGCTAATCGATTCACCCCTCGAAACATAGGAAAATCCACTAACCCCTCATTTTACCTGTCAAACTTTCATAGCGAATCAAAACAAACATTGTGTAGTATTAGAATATTGACTAGAATGGGGTACGTTAATCGTTTGCTTGGGACCAATAAACTAGTGAAGTAGTAAGCCAATTTAAAGTCGTTAGTATCGTATTGATTGTTGGTTATGCTTTTCAAAGACAAAAATAAAGCAGATCGTGTGTCGCATAAACTTTACACAAATGGTGATTTTAAAATTAAAAAAAATGTATCAATATGTTATGGATAACTTATAGTCATCAGCGTACGAGATAGTATTATTTCGCATGTGATTTTAATTGTTTGCGTTAATGTTTACACTGAAAATAAAATTTCGATTACACAACGAAATCGCTCGTTTGTTCTAAGAAATTATTCGTTGTTTTCAGCAACGAAATTGATTTGTACATTGTATGAAGCTAGTTTCGTTAGAACTGTCACACAAGCTATCACTATACCCAACCAGCGGGCCACAAGTGTTAGATGTGGAGACCGTAAAATGTGGTGTGTGTTAGTGAGGATGAGTAAAAATACTTCATCATTGGCAGGAATAAACAAACCAAAAAAAAAATTAAAAAAAGGCTTCCCAGATCGGACTCGAATCATGAGCCATGCGATAGAAAGTTCTATGCTTTATCCTTTGCTCTATCTGTGCTACGAGAAATGGTAAGGCTAGAGGCAGTGTGCGTCTTTCTTCTCTTGACCGTTGCTTTACATTTTTCTCCTTAGTTTGTTTTCCCTCTATGTTGTTTTCCGTACTGAGTACCAATTCTACCGACGCCAGAGAGGCAGCTCCCACGCCTGGACCTTACCTATCGACCCATAAAACTCATGGAACCTTCTCTCATGGAAGGCCTGATCAGAGATTTCAAGCCTGAGAACATCCCGGCCACACCGACTGGGATTGAACCAAGGCCTTTTGGGGTGAAAGAAAATCACGCTTACCACTACACCACCATTGCCACTGCTGATTTTCACTTACGCATGGTGAAAGGCTAGCAATCTTTGTATTTTCTTAATTCTAACTTTGCGGATTTATGAAAATCAGCGCATTGAGTGATCAGACGACAACCCTGGTTTTCATCCTGAATCACTAGAAGAGCTGCTGAAAATATCAATTATCTTGTAATACAACAAGTGATTCGCCTTAACAGTCCTGTACCCCAGAGATGCCAAATTTATAGACATGTCTGTGAATTTACAGACTTTTATTTTTTCATAGACATTTTTTTCGTTACAGACATTTAAAGACTTATTGTTTTTTTCACAAATACTTAAAGACCTTTATAACAAAGGGAAAATTTTAAAATTTATTTGGTCACACTGTTTTTTGAATTTTTAATCAAATTACACGTGCGATGCATCTACAACACGCATTATAAATTCGTGCGTTTTCAAATCCACCACACGAACGAGCTGTCACTGTTATAGACGGTCATAGTTAAAGACCATCATCATGTATCCAAAACGAACATTTTCCGTACGATTTGACGATTAGTTTGGATACGTCAACTCATGTTGGCTGGTCTATAGCTTGACTGTCTATATTCACTGTCACTGAAAAAGTAAAACAATTATCGAATATCGATTTTTATCGGTTACATCTCTTATATCGGGTCGCATCTCTATGAGTATCATGACAGGTAACGATGAAAGCCGTTTGTTTATAAGAAAGGAACGTCGTGAAATCTCAACCAACAATCCAAAAAGGCGGATCAGCTTTTGTAATCAAATCTTGTAATGATCTTTTCTCGCAAATCGAAGCTCGCCTTGCCAAATCAACAACACCGTCGGTTAGGGAAAATTCTTTCCTATCCGAGGGTGGAATTGGTTTGCGTAAGCGTGCTTCAGTTTGCAAGATATGGTCATCACAAGTTTGCTGATCCACTATTTAGTATTGTTGGTTGATAAATCTGTTCGAAAATCGTATGTTCAAAAATCATTTATAGTGATTCCTTGAAGAGTTTACAAATTGCCTGATGATGGCTAGAACACTTGCACAATTTTCGGACACAGTTGTGACATCAATCATGAAATTGGATCTCCCTGTTTGTTACTGCATCAAATGTGAAGTTCCAGATTAATTGTTGTATGTTTTGTGGCAGCTGTGCTCTTGAAATTTTGAGGTGATAGTATGGCGCTTTACACACATTATTGGAAGTGCGGAAACGCGAATGGGAATTCTCCGATATCTCCATGGTCATTACTGATTTCCATCACTACCCCAACAGACTTCCCCAATCTTGGGCATCCGGTGAAGATCAGCATCGATGGCACCTATCGCTTGGTCTTGGGTTTGGTCGAGTCGCGGTTTGGTCACGTTTGGCCATCAGTTCTGTTGCGAAATCTCCGGGCAAATATCGTTGCTTTCAGAGTTTGAACATACAATAATCACAAAAAACAGGTGCTCAAAAAACTGACAGTTCACATCACAAAACACACTAGAAACAACATCAGCATAGTTCTTGATAATTCTAACACATCCTAGATTATCGATGAATAGTGAATGAAATCGGATAATATTGGCCGGTACTTGAGAGCGGCCAATGTGGTCAATGATTCACTTTAAGTCTATAGAAAGAATATTCATGAAAATCTATGAAGAAAGAGCTGTCGCACGGCATGTTTTTGAGTAAAAATGCAATTGTTCCCTGCTCCAGGTTTCCACGGGGCATACTGGATGTTCCGAGAGTGGCCAATGTGGTCAATGATGCATTTAAAGTTTATCTAAAGTCTTTTGACGAGAAACCATGAAGAAAGAGCTGTCGCATGGCATGTTTTGAGTGATTAAATGATCTGCCCGCATTCAGAACCCTCCACCAGAACTGATTACAGGGAAATGGCCATATCTCAGTTGATTATAGGCCGATTTTAGTTCTTGGCATACGATTTGCTTTAAAAATGGTTTTTATTTCGTTGTATTTACTAAAAATATATATATTTAACCAGCATCATACATACAATTTCACCAAAACTTTAACAAGTTAGACAAGCCCTCCGAAAACCCAGAATATCTCCGGTATCCGATGACCATGATTATTTAGAACAATATTAGTTTTCCAGTCAAATGCTCCTGGAAGATTTGAAATCGGATCATATTTGACGAAGTTACAACACTCCAAAGTTGACCAAAAATTTGCCTATCCTAGTTATTTTGAGTAACCCCTGTAAGATCGACTCAAATTTAAGTTTAATTTCTCTAGACTCTAGAAAACGTAATTTACTTGTAGACTGAGTATAATTTTCCGAGCCTCATAAATCTTTTCGGATATGACAAAAATCGACGAAAAATTTATTCATTATTATCATTAAGAAATTTAAAATCCCGCCCATGGTGAAAATATACCATTTTTTGAAAATTTGGATACCTGCCGGTAATCAGTTTGTTTACTGTAGTTACTATAACAAAAACAAAATGTTTGTACATTTATAAGAATTAACATTACAAAACCTTCAAATTGACGAGTAATCTCTTCTGAAAGTATAGATTTTTTAAAAATCTCGAAAATACAGGGTTGTAGCCCAGAAGGATCTGGGCTCTTAAGAGCAAAATCAAAAAAAGGCATTTGTTCAGAATGCCAAAATAAGCGTTTTGGCCATGTTTGGCTCAAATCGGTGACATCGACCACAGGTTGTGTACCCACTTGAGCTGGAATGACCCCTATAATATCATTCGACTTTATGCAAACTCAGTCTTATATTTGGCCTGGCCAAAGTCTACGTTCCATTAAAAATTGTGTACGTATAAAAGTCTACGAGTGGAAAAAAGACTAAGAAATGGCCCAAAATGAATCTATCAGGGTGATCAAAAAATCTGGAAAAACTGGGAAAAAGCCGGGAATTCGAAATATCCGGGAAAACTCGTGTATTTCGATGACAAATCACGAAAATGTACATGATCTTCTTTAAGACAAACTAATAAAACTTTGGACATTCAACAAATTTGGAGTCCCTTTTACTAGGTTAGATTTTCAGGGTAAAGTCACTAAGAAGCTCTTGTAGAATAATTTCACCAATTTTAAAAGTATTTAAGAATTAACGATATAAAACCAAAGTATTTCAGTGCAAATTTGCAAAGGAGCTTCGCGATCAACTCTACGAGGGTTTTGACCAAACATCCAACATAATTGGGAAGGTTTGGAGTAAAATCTGTTTAAAATACCATGAGGATTCCAGGATTTGTGAAAAATACTAAGCGAATAGAATTGTGATGGTAAAGTTGCAAAATAATTCTACGAACTGTTTTTAGGGAATTACAAGGATATTTCCAAGGGCACCTCGAGGAGAGGTTTGTTTTTAGAATGATAGGATAATTCTAAGAGGATTTACAGAAAAATGTATAGAAGAACTCTTTTATTATTTTTAGAAAAGTTTTAAGGCAATTCTCAAGTGAATTCGTTGATAATTGTAAAAAGAATTCAAATAAATTACAAACAATTGATAGACGGATGCTTAAATAGGAAAATGATTAAAATCCAAAAAGAATCTATTGACGAATTTCATGAATTTTTTGGAAAAATATCAAGGGGCTCGTAGAGAGAATCTCAAATTTATTTTATTAGAAATCTGATAAGAAATTTGTCAAGGGAACAGATTCTAAAGAAAATGATTGATAACAATTCCATAAAACCCTGTACAGTTTTGTGCAAATATTCAAGGTAGTTAGAACAAATTGATGAACGCAAAATCAAATTCAAGATCCATGAAAAAATTCTACTAAAACCTTAGTATTGACCCATTCAACCTATTGATCTTATCGGCTCAATCGAATTCGGTTTTATGTTTTATTCAAATGCATTTAGCCAGTGCTGCAAAATCTCGACAATCCACGGCGATATTCATAATTCTGCTATGGGGCTGTTCATAAACTACGTATTTTTTTTGGGATTCTTGACCCCCCCCCCGCTCCCCATGCGTAGACAATTGTCCATACAATTTTTTTTTAATTTGTATGGGCCGTGGATAATTGTGGAGTTGATGGGTCGATTGGTAGGGTCCAGGTGTGGGAGCTGCCTCCCTGGCGTCGGTATCATTGGTGCTCTGCACGGAAAACAAGATCGACGGAAAACAAAAATCACGGAAAAAAAGGTACATTTTTGGAGATTTTTTAGCCTATTTGCGAAGATTACATATCAAGAAGACTGGCAACTCTTCCATTTTCTCATACGACTGCTATGAGACCGGCACAGTTGCATCATCTGCCGTGCAAAGGTAAATGCTTCGAACGAATTTGATAGCAAATATTACAACCTCAGAAGAAAGGTTTGTGTATTTGCTCATTTCTCTATGCGTTAAACTTCCTCCTTTGCGCTACTGTATATGTCGCTTGAATTTTGGCAGAGTTGCGCAGTCTTCTTGATTTGATGTCTTCGATTTTAGATTATAGTTCATTATTTAATAGACTTTCAGCCGATGGCTGGTTTATTTTTTAGCTTATGTGCTTTATTTAGAAGCTTATCAAAAATGCTGATGTTCTAATATTGGACAAACAATGTACACTTTTAAATAGACATAAATCTTAGAACATCAACTTTTAGAAAGAAAAAAATGTTCTCGCAATAGCTTCCATTAATCGATAAATGATGTGTTAATTGTTTGATCTCCTTTCTTGGATTTTCTGGTTTATCAAAAATTATTTTGGTTGTTCTCAACGATTATTTCGTTAGAAGAAAAACTTCGTTGGAATCTTCTTCTTGTGGCGTTTAATATTCCACGAATTTAACGGTGATTTTTATAATGCTGATCTATGTATGGCTTCAGATATTCATATAAAAAGGTCTCATGTAAGAAAGGTTATTGTTATCAGAATGGACATAACGGTATTTCATTTTAACGACACCCTGCTCCCATTGCTCTTTCGATCTGTATTGAAGATCCCAACAACTTTGCCAAATTTGAACGAAATCGTAGGATAATTTTAACTGGGACTTGATATGCGGGTGAATGTTTAAGTTTGCATGGGAAAATGTATGGGAAACGAAACAAATGCTTGTCAATAGTTCAAACATCGCTCAATTTTCACCAAACCTGGAATATGAATTGAAAAACTATATAGAACAACTTTGTCAAAGACTGCAAGTCGATTTGACTTCATTATTATTTTTAACTTTAGTCCAAGTGCTCCACGCATACCTGCAGGCATTTATATAAGCTTGTTGGTATGCTCGGAGTACTAGGCCGAAAGTATAAAAATGAAAATTTAGTTAAATCAATTTGCGATCTTTAACAAAGTTGTTCTGTATAGTTGTCTCAATCTTTGTCGCAGGTTTGGTGAACATCGAGATTTTTTTTTTAAATTTATGACATGCCAACGAATAGTTTCGTTCCGTTTACTTAACATTTTCCCATACAAAATTTTAAATTTTTACCGAATTCGTTCAAATTTGGCGCAATTGATTGGAACCTCAACACATAGCAGTGGGGAGCAGGAGGTTATGATATTTTGAGGCAAATACTCACCGAAACACTTGCTCTGGTTCGTGGCCCGATCGATGAAGACTTTCGAACTTATCACAGTACCGAAGGGCATAAACATCTGCATCAGCTCTCCGTCGCCGAATTCCTGCGGCAGATGGTAGATGAATAGGTTGCAACCTTCTGGGCCCGATATGGAACAGCCTGTGTAGAACATGAAAGCACATTTAGGAGCCGTGTTGTTGTCGTTTACAGTCATGGCGAAGACATATTCATCGTATTTAGTATAAGGGGAAAAAGGGTTTATAATATAAGGACTTTCTCATGCCTGCTGAAAGGTCTTATATTTGTCGGAGGGGAGCTGAATAATCATAACAATGTTGGTCCGAAATTGTTCTTTTAGTATGCCATTTTTTGAAATCAATCTAGAGATATCTGTAAAACCAAATGCCGAAGTCTATCGCTAAAAGATCTAAAGCTATCCGAAGAAAAACGAAAACATCAATTTACCAGAAAATAAATATCAAACGACTCAATATCCAGTGAAGGTTATGCTACATAAATAAACATATAAAAACAACACTTATCCGAGGATCGCCCGGCATAATACAACAACACACGAAGAGCAGCAGCGGTACTACGGTGGTAGTTCCTATCGGTTTTTTTTTTTTTATTTCCGGTAGTAAAACACAACTGAGCTGTACATTTCGACAATTTTTCCACAACTCCACACAGCCTGCGGTAGAAAGCAGAGCGCATAACAGTCAGTGGTGTGTGCGTGAAAGTGAGCGTGTTTAAAGCCGATACTCGAGTCATCAAGATTAACACCCATTTCTGGCTGGCATCTGTGAGTGTGTTGTTCTATTATGCAAGGCATGAAGGTTGACTAAAAAAATAACACTAAAGACATCTATTGAACACAACAGAAAATCTGCGCGAGACGAACGAAAACAATAGCAACGATAAATAGTAAATGTCTAATATGAACCCAATCGCTTAGATCCAGCGAAAAGAATTATTGCAAAATGCAGAAATAACTGGAACGCAAAAAAAAAATTGAATATTTCTAGACGAGAGTGATAGAGACAGACGGAGGAAACAGGAACAAACAGTTTTGTTAAGTGTCCCGAGCGCGGAGGCAGTCCGACATAGAGCAGCAGCACGAATGCTGGACTCTTTGTGCGTACTGCGGTCTGTTGTTAAGTTTCTTGTATTTTGGTGGTCGTGGCAGTTTTGGTGGTTGTGGTAGATAGGGAAGTAGCGCTCTTGGGCGATGCTTACCTTCACGTTGTGCTGGTGCAATGGTGGCAATCGGTTGTGGTATGGCTTGCGGAAATTGTCCATATACGGCTGGGTAGGCTGTTAAATTTACAAATTTACAATCAAAAAACAAATATACATCAACAACACACAGTAAAAGTAGTAAAGAACAAGTAAGATAGAGATATTCGAAGGGAAGAGGGGGTTAATATGGATTTCTGATGGCAGTAGCGGTGTTAGGCTAAAGCTCGTTAGCACTAAGTTTATTGTATTGTGATTCTACGGAATTTGGTACAAAAGATACTAATTGCACTAGCGTATTGCCAGGTTGATACAAAACAAACGAAAGAGTGCGAAATTTTCATCTTAACAGAAAATAACGAAAACGAAATCTATCGATAAAAATATAAGAGATGAAAACAGTTCCCATGAAATGTTGCTCCATAATTCTTCCTCAACTCATAAATATTGTTTACGACTTCATGTTTGGACGTGAGAGACCAGTGTGTGCTGCTGGAAGGTACTACCTATGTAGCTTAAGTGTTCTGAGTGGAATGGAGTGAAACGAAAAATGTATGAAATGTTGAAAGAAATAAGAATAGAAAAATTGGTAACTATTTTTCATCGAGAAAAACGATTTATGACATCATACGGTTCGAGTTTAGGGGCACTTGTTCGGTCAGATACGTGGAACAGGAAAATAGAATTTCGAAACAGAGTAGATAGAGTTTAGGTAGTTTTGTCCTACTAAGCGCAACCCACGCTTTACCTCTCTTTTTTCCAACGGATGTGGCCAAAAAATTCGTACAATTGCTCTTTTAAAATGTACCATTGGATTTGATAAATTGTTTATTTTTTTAAAAATAGAATACTGCTACTTGAGTTCAAATTCATCCCACGAGTTTCAATGCAATAAGTTTACATATGTATATTGTAGGATAAAATTAACTACTTAGTGCTTTTTCAAAGATTGAGTTAAAGCACTTTTTGGGATCAGAATATTTCACCGGAGAACATTTCATCGCCAACAAATTCGTCAAAAAATTGTTCTTTTAACCATGAGCAGTTATTTCGAGTTAAACTTTTTACATAGCTTATACTGTGGCTGTCATTACATAATATTTAAACGAACCTCTAACCATTATTCATTTTGATGTTACAAATTTATTTCAATATATTTTGATACTCGTCAGAATTTTTTTTTCAAATATTTCCTAACTGACGACTGGCTCCCAATCACATAAGATTTTTATTTTTCATAAGTACAGTCCATCCCTTTACTTTCCCATCCCCCATAGCCATTTGTCATCGTGAAAAATAATTGGCAAAATCATATCTCAATGACAATTCCTTGGCATCAGTTTCACATTGTAGCCTGCGACCAAATACATTTCCACTCGGATCTCCTCTTTCAACACCAAAAACAAAACACAACAACAACGACATCCTTCAATACCTAGCTCATAGCAATACAACAGCCATAAGGTGCTTGAAATAATTGGAATATGATTTCTGGTCGTCCTCGTTGGCCGACCACACCCACACCCGAACGGCACTAAAAATCGACACTGCACAATTTGTTGGCTCCGAAAGTGGAAACCAATAAAAGAGAGTAAAAATGGCTGCCCACAGATAAGCATCGTTCCTAAAACTTCAGACCGGACTCCTCACCTTGTCCGTATCATTTGCCTTTTGGAAACCGTTCGCCATTTGCCAAGATTTATACACCGGATCGATTCATATTATCTGACTTTGAACCTACTGCCAAAGCTCCAGCTGGTTTTATTTGCCCGTTCACCCCCCATGTAGGAGGGGTCAACCTGCAGCACGGGGAAATATTCGCTCTCTTTGCGCCGAAAGTTATGATCTTGTTTTTTCTCGTCTGTAGTCATTTGTTTTGGTGGCGATCTTTGTCTCCCACCTCATCCCCACATCCACTACGTTCTGGCACCGTGCGCCCTCGTTTATCATGGTCGACCGAGCCTTGTGTGTATAGCTAGCATATTGTCGCCACTTTCCCTACCCTCCTCCCACTCCACAACGATAGCAAAGGTATAGTTTTCCATATGTTTCTCTTCCCGACTGGATTGGATTTTTTCCTCTGCCATAATAGCAAAACCGTAGACCGAAGCTGCTTGCCGGTTCTGTTTACGGTTACGAATTTTCCATTTCATTTAACAATACTTTTAGGCAATTGGTTTTTACTAGGTGAATTATGTTTTTGGCAGGCTGCTGCTGTGCTGCTCCATCCTCCCAAGTGGGGATCCGCTTGGGTGGGTTTTGGCGGTGTCAGCCAAGGATGGTCTTTGCCTAGCGCGTTCGGTGACCTAACGGATCTTCCCTGCTGGGAACGTTTGGCTTGTTAATATCACGAGTGGATGAAAAGTTATGATTATGAGTGCGACCGATGGTGGTGGGAGGACGTTCGTGATTGTCAGCTATTGAAATGTCTGGCTTTTGTTACATTCGACATTGGAAGATTAATGAGTTGCATTTCAATTGAAATTATGATCATACAACATTTGATTTTCATCCATTAGGCAGTTTCCGTTCAACTGGAATTCAGAACTGTGTCTTTTCAATCTTCGTCCTGGATTACAACGGCCTGAGACTGGAACTGACATATTTCAATTTAACGCTACTTTGAATACATTCTCAGGTAATAATTTAGAATTTTCCACGTCTGTGGTGGTTCATGTCTTAAACAGCATTGGAATTCATAATTCAGAATTTAGTTGATTTCCACCTCGTTCATAACCAACAGATTGCTACACGATATCGAGTTCCTCTGCAGCTGCGCCGTACCTGAGCAGGATAAAATAACCAATGAATACCTAATATTGACCTGATACCAAAATTTGGTATTCACCAGCATGACATGGGAGGTAAAATACCAAAGAACAATACCAAAAATAAATTACATGCAAAACCCGAGCAGGAATGAATATCTCGATACCTTAAATTGGTATGGATGAGCCTGACATAAGAGGTAAAATACCAAAAGATAATACCAAAAAATGTTCCCATAATACCATTCCAATACCAAATTATGATAATGCAATACCAAAACAATACCACACAGGAATGCTTTTGGTAGCCGTTATTTGCAAAGTATTTTGCATGTAATTTTTTGGTATTATTCTTTGGTATTTTACCTCTTATGTCATGCTGGTCAATACCAAATGTTGGTATCAGATCAGAATTAGCTATTCATTAGCTATTTTCTCCTGCTCGGGAATGCTTTGTAAATAACAAAACAAAAATATTTTAGCACCAAAAGAATACCTGTGTGGTATTGCTTTGGTATAGCATTATCATAATTTGGAATAGTATCGCGGGAAGATTTTTTTGGTATTAATTTTTGGTATTTTACCTGTTATGACAGGCTTATCCATACCAATTAAAGGTATCGTTCGTTCCTGCTCAGTTACTGGTATAAGATCTACCACCGAACCTTAGTCGTGACAACTTCAAACAAGGGAATCCGGATTTTTCCAGTAATCAAAGGATTACATTTTAGTGCTTGTTACATTTTATGACTTGATAATGGTGACAAGATTCGGGTAGTGACCACCACATGCATTTCTATATTGTATATTTCAAATCAAAAATATTGTTTATGTTCATAGAGTTTGCTTTTCCCTTTGTCCTTCTCCTTTTCCTTTCCCTCTTCTCTTTTCAGAAAGCGAGTAATGGCACTAAAGCCATAAGCCATAGAAGGCTAGGACAAGAGTTAGTGCTCATGTCCCAACCGTCAGAATAAAATGTAGCATCACTTAACCTTTCTAACATTGATGCTTAAAACAACCAATCAATCATGTAATTACCAAAATCGGAACGTACGGTACGAGATGTCCACGTTTCATCCATTTGTGAATCATCTTGCCCCTTAAATGCTGCACAGAAGGCCTGGCCGTTTTGAAATGTGTGACGCATCTTTGATGTGAAACATATCTCAAATAGACAAGACAAATTATGGAGGTATATCCATCATTTTCCAGGATGCTTTCAAGAACTGGCTATGTTGGTGTTAGATTAGATCGAGATATTCGTTCCTGCTCAGATAAAAGGGGTTTGCACACCGTGAAAATGTCACACCTTTTCTAATTGATAAATTCAAATGGCAGATTTGGAAATAGAGGAGAGCCATTTTGTTTTTGTCTTTCTCTGAATTCACAATATTTCTTCACACCTGGGATTATGAATGCAAGTTAAGAACAATTTTAATATTTTTTTTCTAATTCTGATTTCTCGATAAAAACAACTGTCGTCCTTAATCGACCAGTTTTTAGATCGTGGACTTCGAAAAATATTGTAGATTGTCACAGAACCCAGGAAACTTTGAATATTTCAAAAACATGAACACTTCACCTTCTCTTTGATATTGTGTGATCTAAAGGGTTTTATTTTTAAACTCTTCAGACCATTTATTTGATTGTTCTTTTGCAAGAATTCCATTTGTATCATCAAACAGTTTTCTCAGACTGTTTGTGAAAGTTTTTCAAGCATACCTAAACCAATTTAATTACGCTTTTGGATTTCACTTAACAGTTGTTATTCATTCTCGCCAGTAATTTGAGTCACTTAATTTTTTTTTTATAATTCACTTAACTATTGTCAAAAATTATGAGATCATTCGCTGAATTACCTTGGAATTCTGCTCCCAATTATTTTGAAATACACACTATGAAAAATTCGTATAAATAGAGCTGCTGCGCTTGAGTGAAGGTGGAAGCAACGCATAAAAATTAGCAAATACACAAACCTTTCTTCTGAGGATGTAATCTTTGCTATCGAATTTGTTCGAAGCATTTACCTTTGAGCGGCAGATGACACGATTGTACCTGTCTCATAGCGTTCGTATGAGAAAATGAGTGAGTTGCCAGACTTCTTGATTAGTTGTCTTTGAAGATATTGTTACAATTTTGTTCGAATTATCCACAGAATTAGGGATCCATTCCCTTCATTTCTCACTTGTAATTTTGCATAGAATTCCTTTGAACTCATCCGGATTTCAGGAGTTGTTCTTTTCCGTGTGAATCACGCGATAGCTAAATATTCGATAGCAGCTATTGTTTCGGAGCGCTTTGTTTATTGCT